GAATCTAAGCATGTAGCTCTATGCTGTAGTCTCTGCAGCTGTTTCATAACCTAATAATAATGGAGGATAATGATTTTAATCTCTTCTACTGTAAAGTTTGACCTTTAAATTTATGTCTATAGATTCAGACTTATTTCAGCAAAGGAATGGATCAGATAGTCAGTGTGTTAACTTCCTGTTAACTGCTGCAGACTTGGAATTGAAAACCCAGAGGCCTTATTGTCCCCCATTAGTGTCAAGTATCCCAGAAGAAAAAGGGGGATTTTATAGTTGTGTTAAAAATGTATGAGTGCTGTAATACGAGAGGCACCTGTGAGCTGGGCTGCTGTGATCTTCTGAGCTGAACACATGTATTTTCCGCATATAAGATCCGCAGGTAAGGCTGATATTTATGGAGGTTGGACAGAGCTATTAGCTACACTGCAAAACGATCTAAAGATAAGTCAACATTTCTTAAATGAAGTGTATTTACCCTTAATATGAGTATCTAAATAAGATGATTTGCCAAAGGAATTAGTGTTTTGCACTTCAAATATGAGGATGCAATTGTTTTCTCTTCTTTTAAATGTAAATTGTCTTGTTCCATTGTCAAAATGTCTCACTTACCTCCTCAATTCAAGAACGAATGCACTTATTTTAATAAAACAAAAAAGACTGATTTAGATTTAAATGTTTTGCACTTTGTGTATTTTTCATAGCTGTTTGTATTTATTGTTTTTTCAGGATCATGTCGTCATATGTTCCGCCCCCTGCTGGAAAATCAGGGTTGCAGCTCCTCAGACAAACAGGCTTCCTACAACCCAACCATCAGCCGCTCAGCTTCCTGGAGCTCCTCTCTTGGTGAAGGTTCAGCTTCTGGAGACTCAGAGACAGAAACCGAACAACAGTCCAGTGAGTTCACCAGAAGTTGGTTATTCTCTGCATTTTTCATACGTGTTAGTCTCAACACTCTTTATAGGCACATGCCCACCCGCCTGTCTAACCCTCTGACTCAGGGTTACAGTGTGGTCAATGGTCGACAGCCTGAGGATACACTGGAGGATACTCTTTTTTTCTTAAAATATGTGCATTTGATCTTGGACTGAGGAGGTAAAAGAAACATTTTGCCAATGGAAAATAAGAAAACACAATTACATTGTCTTATTTCCACTGCATCTTATTTTAAGAGTAAAAATATTCATTCCATTGGCAAACTATCTCAGTTACCAATTCAAATTAAGGGTAAATACACTTAATTAAATACATTTTTACTTATTTTTAGATCGTTATCCAGTGTACCCTGGAAAAGACATTAGTCAATCAGGAGAATTCAGAATAAACACATTTATCCAGTGGCACGGGAAGGGGGGTGCTGCGGGGGCTGCAGCCTCCCCCACCATAGCATCAGCCCCCCATGGTGGGGGGCTGTGGAGTAACATAATATTGTACTTAAAAACATGAAATTATTTATGTATTTATTTTTTAAAAGACTGT